ATCGATAATCTTATTATATTTTTCTATCATTAGACATGTGCGCAAACCTCCTACCTCACTATGAGAAAAATGATATTTTACAACTAATGTTTCAACGACCAAACCTATATAGTCGTTAAAAATTATTTTCACGACGAAATATTAAGCTTGATCGTAGAAAATGGATGATGAACAATCAAATTTTAAATTAGTTGAAAATATTTTATAATGACCAGAAAATAGTTTTTAATTTTATATTTTCTACAACCAAATTAAAATTGGTTGTTGTGATGGGTTCCAAATAAAAAAATTCCCACCAAAATGTCTATTCATATTGAGCGACAACGTAATTGGTTGTTAAAAATACAAAAAATATAGTAAACATTCAATGACCATCATGTCTGGTCGTTAATAGACTAAAACAACAACTAATTCTATCTCGTTGTTGAAACTAAAGGAAAATTTGACATTGAACTACTACTTCTTCAGTAGTTGTTAATGGTGATTTCATTTACCCCTCTTAAAATTTCTCTTCCCGCCTAAAAATTCACTTGGCTTTTAAAATATCATTTCACAGTCAAACAATTTTCACTTATCCACGTAGGCATTTCATTTCATTCCAAAACCCTAGCCTCAAATCCATAACTTCATCTCTTCACGTGGACATGAGCCGCCTTCCTCTTACTCTTCCACTCTCTCTAACTCTTTCTCTTTGAGCATATAAAGAGAAGGGAACCTCAAATTTCAATCTCCACCATCGTCAATACAAGCACAGTCCATCTTGTCGCCCTATTTGTACATCAATAGTCACTCTGAATTAACTATCCCCTCCCACCATCTCAAAAAGTTTATAGATGTCATGTCCAAATTTTGGTTTTACTTCCATGTCTCTCTAATAGTTTATAACAGATTTTATGGCAAATGAAAGCAGGGGCGGACGCAGAAGTTTAAAGTAAGGGGGTACAATTGAACTTGCAAAGAAATTAGGAGAAATTTTACAATCGAAAATTTACGTCCAAAAAAATCATACCTCATATAATTTTGCATTCAAAAATTTACATGAGATATGACTTTTTCAGATGTAAAATTTCAAAACAAATTTATGTCATATTCCATATAAAATTTCATAATAAAAGGATGAAAATTATATTGAGAAATTTGTATTGCAAAAATAATAAATGTTAATGAAATAATTGATTTTTTTTTACAGAAAATGCGAGTTAAACATTTTTCTTTAAAACTCACGTTTAACGCATTTTTAACTATTTTCGATATATGTTTGGATTATCTGATATGCCTATAATGTAGTT